TTTATCTGTCACAGTTCCACATTTAAAGTTTCAAATTGACCTCCAATAAAATTTATTGAGCATCTAAATCATAATGATGGTTCAGCATGCTGGGAGTAGCTACTGGTTTCGAGATATAAGACTAGAGAGTCGAGGAAGTATTGCTTACAAACTCCACAGGACTTTAAACAACATTCTCAAAACGAGGGACTGGTGTTTCACTTCAGTTTATGGTATAATAATAAAGTGAAACTATGACAAAAAATAAAGGATCAATGAGCATGTTCTCCTCTGAGCTCATCGTTTTTTCCCCATTACTGTTATAAAGGCTTTTTTGATATAACTTATTTTAATACTGTATTAATGCAGTAGGTGTCTGATTAAGGCATAACTTTGCTTCTTTACCAACTAATAAAGAGCATGTTGTTTGTGTTTTTTTCTTAGTTTGGTCTAATTTGATTTAAAATAAGGCTTGTTATGCCTTTGTAGTTTACAATATAATAAAGAAGGAGCACAGGCTGTATACAAAAGATGGGCATTGCTAATCTGCATTCTTTTTAATGGCCACCAGGTGGTGACTCCTGTGGTAGTATTTATGATTATGATCTGTTAGCTATGTTTATGGGCTCAATCGCTACAGTTTCTTACTGACTAAAACATAATCACTTTTTTATGACCCACTCGAGTAAAAAAAGGACAATAAAGTAAGGTGTGCTCTCATGAGCCAATGAGAGTGCAGCGTTCTTTGGTTTCTCAGATGCAGATGCGTCAGATGCACTCATGACATCAGGTTTCAGAAAGCTAAAGCGATGACGACTAAATAAAGCTCGAGACTTGACAAACTAAAGCTTTATTTCAACGTTTGTGTTGAATCTAGTAAAGCCCACCGCTTAGCTGATGCAAGTGTACAACACCGTTACTTTTCATGATGTCATTGACTCTTGCTTGTGATGTCCCTGCGTTGGTGTGCAATTTAGCACACCAAAACATTTGATTTGAAAAATGATGCCAGAAGAAGATGAAGAAGAAGAAGTGGCAGGAAATGAAATGGAGGTAACTACAGCTCTGAACAGGCCAATCACAGTCATTGTGGACTGCATTAATGTGACAAGTAGTTACAGTTACATTTAGTGTATGTCAGGATGGATTTGTGGATACAATGTAACTGCTGCTTTCATCTTCCATCTTTTCCATCTCCATAAAAGGAACCTTATGTTCCACTTTTAAAGCCTTATAAGGTGTAGTTCAGCTACAAAGATGCTTTCTGTGCTGTGATAGTGAGAAAGAAAACTGTGTGTTTGTGTTACCAGTGTGCCACTCTCTCCTCCAGCTCTCTCAGCAGGTCTTTGTTGAGCTGGTACAGCTGAGGCAGGTAGTACAGGATCTGACAGAGGATCCGCTCATCTACCACCGGCTTCCCATTCTGACGGGTTGCCTTGGCAACGGCATCCCGAAAATCCTGGAGAGAGACGCATGGGTTAATTCTGACAAAGCTTTGCACACACACAGACACAGCTGGGCAGGCTGGAAGTGACACATGACGACAAACTTTACTACAACTGATCAGGAGCACCTCATAAACTGCCCGCTCCTCCACCCTACCCGTCCACACCTCTGCACATATTTTATGACACACACACATCCACCCCCACCCACACACATGGAGCTGAGTCAGCACTTTGACTTTGTCCAGCATGCCAACACACACATCCACCTGGAAGGAAGTAGGGAGGTGACAAGGAATCCCGATGTCCTGGATAACTCGCGCTCTCTCTCTCACAAATATATCCACTGCTTGGCATTACAGACGATAAGCAAATTTTGTACAACAATTAGCAAAACACAATATTACAATCGTAGCTGTCATATGTTTGTTTAGCTCGTGGCCCATTTATCTTATTGCCTTTGTAAAACCATATATCCCTCTTTATCTGGGACTGAATGGCATTTTCATTCCTTGTCCCACACCTCGACTCCTTATTTGGGAAAGTGCTTTTTTTAAAGTCTCATTTTTACCCAAAATATATAAAGGGAAGGCTTTTTATTCTTGACAGAAGAAGGTTAGCCAGTCTAATGCCATACTCATCAGCGAGAGTTGCTAAAAAAAAATCATAAGCTCTTCATATTTTGTTGAATATAACAAAAACAACCACAAAGAAATGAAGCAGCAGTATATTCTGAGAAATACGTCTGTTTAGCTGCACCACAGCGTCACCTTTAAGAGAAATACATTATGACTGTCCAGATGCTCGGAAAGATAAACTCACCACGCAACACACAATAAAATATAATCTCAGAACAACTATAACGCACACGTATTTGCTGTTATCTGCCACAACTACAGATAAACAAAATGTTCACCACCTCAAACATGCATTTATTTGTTAGATATTTATGTATTAAGCTTCTATTTGTATTATATTTATATCTTGTGCTGTTTTGTTTGGTGTTTTTACCTTAATGGGTCATTTTGTTCTTCCATATTGTATTGATTTTATTGCGCTATTCTGCTTTATTTATGTTGCGTTTAATGTGACAAATATAGCTTATCTTAGCTCCATCCATCTATTTTATTCTGCTTATCCAATTCACGTTTGCATGGAGGGTAGAGCCTATCTCACCTGTCACAGGGCAAAAGGTGAATTATAGTCTATTTAGCATCACCAATGAACCTGACCTCATCTGTGCTTTTGGACTCTAGCAGGAAGCCGGAGCACCCGGAGAGAACTCCTTGCTGTGAGGCAACAGTGCTAACCACTTAACCACCGTGCC